CCCCAAAACCCCAAAACCCCAAAACCCCAAAACCCCGAATTAAACCCAGATAATTGAAGACAGATAGACTTTAAGAAGTGAAGATTTGGGCATTATTTAGAGAAATTGGGAAGAGAAGAAGGAAAAGGGAGCGCGGGTGATGAGGTGATGGGGGGTTGGAGGAGAAATGGGAGTTTAGGAGGGAATAAAGGGAGAGAGTTGAAAAAAGGGTTGGCAGAATGCAGTTTTTAGCAGATATGAAGATTTAGTATAGCTCTTCTGAGTGGTTAGAAGTTGCGATTATCTAACCAATAATATTTTCTCACCTCAGTTACCACAACAGTGGAATACATCTCTAGTTTTTGCTCATTGATAAGGAATGAAGCAGTATCAGAAAATGATTATAACAAGATCATACAAATCAAGACACCAGTCTCTCTCCAATTACATGTCGTCCCTAACTTAGTAAACCTAATCTGTTGGCAATACCTTCACTTCACCCTGATCGGCAACCTCGCTAGCGTCTATACCCTCACTCATATCACTTACATAAGTATTTATATTGCTATCCACCACCTATACCCTACATCACCACAGTACACACCAACCCAAAATCCCTAATTCCCCCTCTTCTCCCTCCTCTTCCTTCGCAATCCCAATCCTAGCCCTTCCATCCAACACTCCCACACTGCTCTTCCAGCCTAGCCCAAGCAGCTCTTCCAGAGCTGCTTGAGCTGCTCGAAGAAGAGTTCTGGAAAATGTGCTTGGAAGAAAATCTTGGCTTGGATTTTTGAATGGAGAAATTTTAGGCTATAAGTGGGGATTTTGAGAGAGTGATGGAGATTGGATGGAAGGTTATGGGAGATAGGGGAGCGAAGTGGAAGAAGGGGGTATTTGAGAGAGGAATTTATGTTAGGGATGAAAGATAAGGGGATAAAGTTACTTACTCTTGCTCCGGGAGGTACTTCGGGGTTGTAGTTGTCTAAAGTTGTAACTTTAGGGAGTACTAGATCCGTAATTTGGGTAATTGTTTCTATTGCCGTATGGCACAAGGGCATTTGATTCATTTCTATAATTCATTCTAAATTTTAAAAGATTTTTGGGTACATTTTAAAGGTGTCCAGGAATTTTAGATTTTATTGAAATATTTTTCAATTTGTATTAAAATTTTGGGGTTTTGGGGTTTTGGGGTTTTGGGGTTTTGGGGTTTTGGGGTTTTGGGG